TGTGACCTAATTGTAGATGCCATAAATAAGAACTATTACTGGTAGAAACATACAAATAATCAGAAAACATACTTTATTATTATCAATAGGAAGAGAGTACATGTCATTCACTCTTACACCTTTCACTAATACACTTCTTTTCTTAATCAAAACTGTGTTAAACTTGAAATTAATCTCAAAACCCTTTTGGTTAACATTGGAATTGAAATTAAATTTCTGCGAATGCTGGGTACATAAAGCACATCATGAAGCACAATGGAAGTTCCACTAATAGAGAATTGACAGTTGTCCATGCCCAGAACATCACTGTAAGAGTTGTTGCGCATATAGATTCTGTATTCACCAAACTTCTTTTCAGTAAACTCCACGAACATGTCCTTGTTTTGCACGATATGCCTAGTTGTAACAAAATCAATCCATCATGAATTTGATGAAGGTTCAAGTACCATTGTTTCAGAAATTGTCATGGCAACGAGGTTGTCATCATTTTTTTGCTTGTTCTGAGGAGAAGTGGCTTTGATATGACCTTTTTGACCGCATATGTAACATGGGCCAAACTGATTCTTGTGATGTTGTTGTTTTGGCCATCCTTGCTGCTTCTTCCATCCTTTCTGGTACCCCTTCTTCCACTTTTTCTTGAAAGAAATAGTCTTTCTCTTGTTGAATGGTGTGGGGATATTATTCAGTGGTTGTGACGAAGATTGTGCCATTAACAAGTTAGAAGACAATCATTCTTTATGCCTTTGTTTAATTCTTTTTTCTTCCAAAACTAAGAGTACAGGAAATGTTACCATTAAAATCTCTCGTCCGCTATGAGTTAAAGATGTGACAACATGATCCCAAGACAATGGAAGACTATTAAGTATGGTAGTTACTTGCATCTTGTCTGACAAAGGGTGATCAGCGTTAGATAATTCTTTAGCAATTAACTCCATTTGATTAACATGTTTACCAACACTATCATTATCACTCATACGAGTGTTATTGTATTTGTCTAAGAGCAATTGAATTTGAGTGTCCGATCGAACTCCATACTTACTTTCTACTGCTTTCATTAATTGTTTGATAGTTTCATGTTCTTCGAATAATGGAATAATGTCGTCTTTTATATTATGTAACATTGTTGCCTTTGCCGTTGCATCATTCTCTATCCATTTGTTTTGAAACCAATTACAATCATCATCTGGTTTGTAAGTTGATAAAGTGTGCAACATTTTTTCATGTGGAAGAAGATAAGAAATGTGGCGTTTCCATGCCCGAAAATTATTTCCATTAAGCATCTTAGTTCTTGAAAAATCAATAGCACTTTTAATAGCCATACTAAAAATGTGTTATAATAAAAATACAAGTGTGGATATTACAAACAAAATAAACAAATAAGCAAAAATAAATGCAACAGCATGTCTTTAATAAGGATAAGGCTTGTAGTTGTTGAGTTGGCCCTTATGATAAGCAAAATATTGATGTAGAGGAGTAAAACGGTCTTCTTGCCTTGGGTAAGAAGAATGATGAAAACCCAATGGCCAATTAAACCCAATACTCTGTTTATGAGTCTTGTGAAAATAGTTACGAGCCCAAGGAACACAACGATACTTATTTAAAAAAAATTCTTTGGATGTTTTCCTGGGTAACACCCTTGAATAGCCTCATTCTCTAATTATTTCTTTCGAAAATTTAGTACTTAGAAGAATTCTGGAGGTTTTGGCTTTTGAATGACTGAAAACGGCTCTAAAATGAGTGAGAACGGGCAAAAAAATCTCCTGGTCTAGGCTGCTACCGGTTCAGAGCTTTGGCTGAATCGGTTTGAACCAGTTAGGAGTGAACCGGTGGAACACGTGGGTTAGACAAGCGTGGGTCAAGGCGCGAAGCTGAAGGATGCGGGTCCGGGCGCAAAGCAGAAGGGCGCGGCTTAAGGCTGGCACGCGGGTTAGCGTGCTGGGTGGACTACGATCCTCAACTGCACTTGCAGCTCTGGGCTACTAGGCTGCACCTAGCTAGATTGGGCCTTTGGCAGAGTTGGCCCAATTTGCTTCTTTTTAAGAATTAAGCCCAAATTTCCTTGTTATGCGCTTAATTTTTGGGCCTTTTCTTTTTGTTTTTGATTTTGGCCCAATAAATGGAATTTTCAAAACAGAGGCAGATGCTCCAACGTTATTATTGCACTGGTTGTCTTCTCCGATGACTGGTGTCAGAGACCATACACTGTAATTTGAATTTTATGGATCAAACTTTTGTCGTTTTTCAAAACAAATTACACCGTTGTGATCAAAATTTTGAAATGAACAAGATGGTGCTAAAGTGGTGACTCAAGTTGAACTGAAAATTATTTTATAAAAATTTTTCCACCGGTATAATTCAGCCACACTTTCGGTAAGGTTCGGTACAATACCACTACCAACTGTTATTTTCTTTGGATACTTTTCTGGCAATACAACACGTTGATGATGATTAAATAAGCAAATGGAGTTAACTAATGCCAAAGCTGTCAATCAATAACACTCTAAATTTTTGGTAAAAAGATTTCGAAAAATTTTCATTCTTCCAGACTGTAATTCAACATCTGCGAGTATGTGTAAACCTGGCTCTGATACCATTGAAAGATTAACTGATCATGGAAAATTGATTAGAGTCCCCATAAGGGTGTTTATCACGCAAGAATATACAAACCGAAAGAGAAAATTAAGTGAGTTTGAACCAATATTCTGTCTATATATTTATAGCATGCATGATGGCTTTTGATCAATGGTTACAATCATTGAAATTGAATCTCCAAACCCAATGGTTACCATGTTTCCAAACATTGTGACTTTTCATTTGAAACTCAAACTTCCAGTTGTTTCTTCCTGCGGGAAGGTTGAATCACCATCTTTTGGGTTATGATTCGGTATGAGAAAGTCCATCATATTATGATGTGAACACCTCTCATACCTTCAAATTATACCTGCCGATTCAAGCTAGATCTCAATCTCTTTGTTGAACTCTTTCAATTCCCACCGACGGTGCCAATTGTGAGATTCAGAAAATCCTCTCATATGGATTGTTGAAGAGATCTAATGAAGAGATAAGTTTTGTCCCATAAATCTACAAAGATAGACATTGTTGGTGTCACCCAACTGGAGTTGCCAGCCGGAGATACTCCAATGTTGAAGTTAGTAACTTGAATCAATGAAAGAAGATGAAGAAAACGAAGAGTGAGGCATACTTCTATTTTATGGGATGCCTCCCTTTTATAGATAAGGGGTGTTATATTTGTTTAATGGATTTCTTTATTTTGACTAGGCCCATTATTAAAATTTATTTAAATCACCCCCAATAAATTAGTATTTTTTGGACCACCACAATATTTAGTCGAGAGAGACACTATTTTTTGTTATGTTTATTATAATCTTATCATCACTATTCGAAATGTATTTATTTCGGTTATATTTTGATGGCGTGACAATGATAAACGTCGGAAAACTTGTGCATATGACTAGAAGACTAATGTTGTGTTTAGTTGAGGGATTTTGGGAGGGATTTGAAAAGGAAAAAGAAAAAAGTGTGTAAAACTAGGTGAAATGTAGGCATATTTTATTCACATTTCACCTAACTTTTTCCTTTCTCTTTCCAAATCCCTCCTCAAATCCCTCAACCAAACACAGCGTAAAAGGGTCCATAAATTACCTTCATGTTCAACATGTCTCATTTGAATTTGAAAAAAAAAACAAAAATGCAAAAAAACTAAACATGATGCCTTAACAATTTTAAAAATATTGTAGTATTCATGTCCAATGATAAACATTGAAGGACTTTTCAATAAATTTATCATAAAATAAAAAAAAATTAATATTCCTATATAAAATCTATATAAAAAAAAACTTGACAAGATTGACGTGGTAATATTATTTTTTGTAAATAAATTATTGTCCTTCAATTCCATCGCTAATAATAGTTAATATACTCAAATGTTACGTTTGGTAACTTGGGAGAAAAAATAAAAGAAATGATTAGATAAGTTATAAAGGAGTGGAAAAGAAATTATGATTTTCTTTCCTTTTATCTGGATAGATAAGAGAGAAAAGAAAAGAAATAATATTGATTTATCTTTTATCTTGTTTAGTGAAGATATATATAAAAATAAAAAAATAAAAAAGATATAATGTTACATTATCAAATTAATCTTTTATAGGTGTTATTTTTTTTTTTTTATCTAAAATATAGTTTTGGTATTATAACAAAATAATATTTGATTAATTTCATTTCTCTCCTAATCTCTCCACTTTTAGAGAGATAAAAATAAGAGTTATGAAAGAAATGTGTCTCTCTATATCTTTCAATTTCTCTCTTATTTGATAATTCAAACAAGTAATTTCTCAGAAGATACTCAAACCAAACCAAATGCAAGTCCATGTTTGATTTGTTTTTCAGAAAAAAAAAAATAGAATTAAAAAAAAAGAACTAATTTATTAAAAATAAATATGAAAAAATATTTTTAAAATTTTTTAAAATTATTTCTACCTTTTCAAAAAATAAAATTATAAGAAAATTTATTAGAAAGTCTCACATGAGTATCAATCCTATGAATTTTTTAATATACTAATAGGTCTTGTATGCTTTGATAAACTTATCGTGGCATCCTATTTTGAATTTTGGTATGATTTGACGAACGTTTCTACTTTTTTTCATTGGGGGATGTCATCTTAGGAAAGTTTGATTCAATTTTTGGATTACGTTCTCTAATGTAACACTCAAGCATAACATTCCAATATAATATTCAAACATAATATTTTAAAAAAAAATAAAATTAATGTATTTTTTTACAAACATAACACTTAAAAAGAATTAAATGACAAATGAATTATCACACATTTAAAAAGATTAAATGGGTCATAAAAAAAATTGTGAAACTAACTAAAACACAATTCTAACATATAGTATTTAAGTATTTTTTCTAACATATAGTATTTAAGTATTTTTTATTTATTTTTATCTCTTTTATCAAATTAGCTTTTATTTTGTAGAAAAAAATTCTCAAAATAATCCAATCAAATCAAGTCGAACATAGCCGAAGCCTCGAACCCAAGCATGGCCAGAGACTGACAGAACACAGACGACCTCCATCGTCGTTCATGTGAAAGAACAGTTGAGCTGTTTACTCTCTCTGCTCTCATATTCACATCAAGCAAAGCACTACAACCTTCTTTACCTCGCTATGGCAACACAACGGTTATTTTTTCAAACACCCTCACTCAGAAGAACAACGCCTTCAGTTTCTATTCATCAATTCATCAGAACCACAGCAACCCAAACCCTAGAAACTCCATCCAAACAAACCCACCCATCGATTGAATTACCAGATTCGTCAACACCCATCTCCATTTCCGACTCCTTCATGGTTGAAAAGATTTTGTGGAGTCTCAAACAAGGTAATAAGTCCAATTCTCCTCATAGTTATCTGTTTCAATTAAACCCCTCAATTTTCGTTGATGTTCTTTATCGATGCCATGAGAATTTGCAAATGGGTCAGAGGTTTATTGATTTAATTGCCACAAAATATCCTAATTTCAAGCACTCATCGATTTCGTTGAGTGCTGCGATTCATATATTGGCTAGGAGTCGGAGGGTATCAGATGCCCAGGCTTTGATTCTTCGGATGGTTCGAAAGAGTGGTGTTTCGCGGGTTGAGATTGTCGATTCGTTAGTTTCGACTTATCGAAATTGTGGCTCGAATCCACTTGTTTTTGATTTGTTAATTAGGACTTATGTGCAAGCTAGGAAGTTGAGGGAAGCTACAGAGGCGTTTCGCGTGCTGAAAAGTAGAGGTTTTTGTGTGCCTTTAAATGCTTGTAATTGTCTTCTTGGAGGGCTTGTTAAGGTTGAGTGGGTGGACTTAGCTTGGGAAGTGTATGGGGAAATCGTTAGAAGTGGGATTGAAGTGAATGTTTATACACTAAACATCATGGTTAATGCATTGTGTAAAGATCGGAAACTGGAAAATGCAAAATTGTTTCTTTCTGAAATGGAAGACAAAGGAATTTTTTCTGATATTGTGACATATAATACTTTGATTAATGCATATTGTCGTGAAGGGCTTATAGAAGAAGCTTTTGAGTTAATAAACTCGATGTTGAGTAAGGGTTTAAAACCATGTCTTTTCACTTATAATGCAATAATAAATGGTTTATGTAAGAATGGAAAATATGCCAGAGCAAAGGAAGTTTTGGATGAAATGTTGCAGATTGGACTAAGCCCCGATGCTACCACTTATAACACACTGCTTGTTGAGTGTTGTAGGAACGATAATATGTCTGATGCTGAAGCAATTTTTGATGAAATGTTTCTTAGAGGTGTTGTTCCTGATTTAGTCAGTTACAGTTCACTTATCGGATTGTTTTCAAGGAATGGGCATCTTGATCGGGCATTAGAATATTTTAAGGGTATGAAGAGTGTTGGCCTAATACCAGACAATGTAATTTACACTATTCTTATTGGTGGGTTTTGTAGAAATGGAATGATCTTGGAAGCTTTGAAGGTGCGGGATCAAATGCTGGAGCAGGGTTGCTTTATGGATGTGGTTACTTACAATACTATTTTGAATGGGTTGTGCAAAGAGAAGATGCTTTCCGATGCCGATCAGCTTTTCAATGAAATGGTGGAAAGGGGTGTATACCCTGATTTTTGCACTTTTACCACACTAATGCATGGATATTGTAATGATGGGAATATGAACAAAGCCCTGAGCTTGTTTGGGTCAATGCTTGAGAGGAATCTCAAGCCAGATGTTGTAACGTACAATAGTTTAATTGATGGATATTGCAAGGAAGGTGAAATGAATAGAGCTAATGAGTTATGGGATGATATGATTGCTAGGAACATCTTTCCTAATCACATTACATACAGCATTCTGATCAATGGATTTTGTAGTCAGGGTCGTGTATCTGAGGCATTCAGATTGTGGGATGAGATGGTTGGAAAAGGTATTGAGCCCACTGTTGTGACTTGTAACACTGTTGTAAAAGGCTATTGCCGGTCTGGGGATGCAGCAAAGGCATATGACTTTTTGAATAAGATGACTTCCAAAGGAGTTGTTCCTGATAGCATTACATTCAACACTCTTATACATGGATTTATAAAAGAAGAGAATATGGACAAAGCACTTGACTTGGTTTATAAAATGGAAAATCAAGGACTATTACCTGATGTTGTTACATACAATGTGATTCTGGATGGTTTCTGTAGAGAAGGTAGAATGCAAGAAGCAAATTTGGTATACAAGAAGATGACTCAGAGGGGCGTGAATCCTGATAGATCCACATATGTATCATTGATAAATGGACATGTCACACTAAACAATTTGAAGGAAGCATTTCGATTCCATGATGAAATGTTGCAGAGGGGTTTTGTGCCAGATGATAAATTTTAATTTTTTCACTTTTGTAATCATGAAAAGCTATGACTTAATGAATTGTGCCATTTGATACATTTTAATTGCTCATGTATTGCCCATTGACCCATAAGGTGAGATTATTGTATTCAAGTCTTCTGCTCAAATTTATCTTGTGGAACCATAGGCTCCATTTTTGGTGTCTTGTCTTCATTTACCCTTTTTGCTAATTTCGAGAACATCAAAGCTATATAACTGAATTAAACTTGGCTTATTTTTCATTTCATGTGTTTAACATGTACAATCTTCTATTCAAGATATGCTTTACCTTTTCAATTTACATGAGTTTTGTGATATTATGTGTAATGTAATATTAATGCTAAAGGGATTTTGAAGCTAAGATTTGTATGTTTTTGCTAATATAAAAAACATTCTCATACCTATTTGATTGTATGCAGTACGAGATTGGATACATGAAGACTATATAATATTGTAATCACCACTGAGGTATGAATTTCTACTTTGTAATATTATGATGAGTTATGTTGCCAAATACCTGGTTTGTATTACTTAGAGCATCTCCAATGGTTCACCAAACATTTCATCAAATTTGAGTAAAAATATGACCAATTCCTCTATTTGATATCAGACGCTCCAACGGTGCTTTCATCAAACCACAGGACGTCTGGGGGTTCGACCGGCAAGAGCAAAATTGAATTTTTTTTTTTTCTTTGGTTGCCTTCATTTCTGTTTCCTCAATGTATGAAGAATGAAGTTGCGAACAATATCATACTCTTCTTTCAATAAGAAAGCTATACCATAAGGTATAAAGTCACGGATAAAGATCTGATCATAATTCAGAACATTGGAATTGGTTGGGTCCTTCGTAGTTATTGTTTTTTTCTTGATTTTGAAAGTCACGCGATTAAGAACACTCAATGTTGTGGGGCTTAAGAGGAGGAAGAAGAAAATGATGATGGCTTGCATTTTGGTTTTAATTATATGAGCTCCACTGCTCTTTCTTCCCTCCCTTCTCTTCTCACTCTCTGTCTCTCTAGAACTACAGGGAAGATGAAGGAATACAGTATTCTTTGATGGATACTCTTCAATTAGAGAGAGAGAGAGAGAGAGAGAGAGGTGCTTGATAATGGAGGTACTGAGGTGGTCGACCTAGGGGTCGACCTGTTAATGTAAATTTTTACAAATTTTTGCTTTAAAACGGTCATCCAGGGAAATATCCGGCTGGTCGTCCAGTGAGTCCAACTCAACGATTATGCACAGTGAATTGCTGAAAGGGGTAAGCCATCCTCAGTTTGGTAAAACGTTTGATGTTTTCTCAATTTGATACTATTTTGGTGCAACTGTTGGAGCACAAAAAGCACTTCTTTTTCATCAAATTTGAATTTGATGATGGATTTGGTGAACGGTTGGAGATGGTCTTATGGCACTGCTTGTGTTTTGTTTTTCAGATTTTTATTTGCGATGTGATTTTTTCCCCTGTCCTTTGATAAAACACATACACATGCTCTTATTTCAGTCTCAAATTGCGAGGATAATGAAGAAGAGTGTTCTTTTGACGGTGGGGGAGAGGCAAGTCTATGATCATGGGTAAAGTTTTTAGTTATCTTAACTTATCAAAATAAAAACAAAAAGTTTTCATATCGTAATGTTTCCAATATTTTTTTTAATGCATTATTAGCTGTCTTCTTTCACTGCATGTTTGTGTGATGAAATATATTGCCATGGAGCCAAAGGGCAGTGCCATAGAGGCCCCATCATAATTTGTGCTATTTGTCTTGGCCAATAGAACTGTGCAGTAATAGATAGAAGTTTTTGTTTTAAATTGGAGTAATAGATAGAAGCTAGATGACTTACATTTGTTACTATTGCAATAGACATCATACCATGCTATGGAATTTGTATTGGAATGAGTGTATGTAGACTATAATGTTCATTCATGTTCTCCTTTGCATCAATTAGGTTCATGCTTTATAATCATTCTTCACCTTTTTGGCCAGGTGAGAGTTTTGCATGTTGGTCCTTCGCAATCATGTAACTCTAATTTTTTTTTTTTGCAAATAACTTTTAATCTAGGGTAAATTAGATTGACCTCCCCTTGTGAGGTTTGGGAAAAATAAAATAAGCCATATAGTTTTGACGTAATTACACCAACCTCCCCTCCACTAATGATAGAATAAACAATAAATGAATTTTCCCCCTCGTATATTTTGTGTTTAACAGTTAAATTTAACTTGAATGAGAAATTACGAATTGATCCCTCTTCAATAAGGTTGTTTTTGTGTCCCCATCTCTTTCTCCCACTCTTGGATGAACCTGCTCCTCCCCCTCCTCCCCAGAAGTTGATCCCTCTCTTCTCAGCTAGCCACCACCCACTCTTACCCCTCTGGCATATCCCCTCCATCATTGCCAACCCACCCTCTTTTTCCCTCTAGTGCCACTACAACCACCCAATCACCACCTAGCCACCGCCCAATCAATATGCAAAATGTGTCCTCTCTTATCTCATCATGCTTGTGGCTAGGGGTTTTTTGCATTGTTCACAACAGGTACTTATTTAATATTTTAGGAATATCGTGTGGTATTGGTTGTGTGGTGGTCCAAACCAATAGCGTAGCAGGGAATCTTGTGGATTAAACATAGTAACTCATCATTATTAGATAGTTGGGAGATAATGGGCAAATCACTTAGTGTGAGTTCGATTTCTCATGCCGGGAGCACCACGTAGGCAATGCCACATAGTATTCCGGAATTATCTAACAATTTTCATTCAAAACACATCGTTTATGAACAATACCATCTCTCTAATATTTTTCTTTCAAATAAAAATTAAATATATTTTATAATAATTTGTGCTATAAATGTTACGTTTTATTTTCTAAAATTTGCAAACTTACATCACTATCGTGTGCCGAGTTATTCCACACTATCATAGAATTTTGATTTGAATATCTAATTTTTTATGTTTAATTTTAGCTCATAAAATTATTGTCTTATTGTTGATCACGAAAAGAAAAATTTTGAAATTGTAATTAATGGGTGCCCCCTCTGGCTCCGCTACTGCCCTCCATCATTGCCAACCAACCCTCTTTTCCCCTCCAGTGCTGCCACAACCGCATGATCACCTTGCAACCACCATCATTGCAATGGCCACGATCCTAGCTGCCCCTCTCATCTCTCTCAGAACCAACTCCCAAAGCAATGTCCACCTTGATTCTTGATTGCTGATGCTTTCTCTAATTGCTCTTAGCAGCTTGTGGCCATACAAACAGAAAAATAAATTGCAAAATGGAGCAGCAAATGCAACAACTCAACATCTAATTACATGACTAATTTTCAGCTCTCATTTCATCTCTTCTCTTGTTTAGTTTGTGATTTTTTTTCATTACCCGTCAATTCTATCGTTTGTTATACTAAGAATAGAGGAAACCCAGTTTGTGGTACCCTTGCAACCTCCAATAAATCACATAGAAAAATTCTCTCACAGAAGCATTCAATTTTTTAAAGTTTGCTCACATGGAATATAAGAGTGCTGGGTATTTTCGTTCATGGTTTGTGTTTTGGGTTTTACTTTGTGATTATTCCTTCAGGTATTGTAAATGTTTTTGAGTGGTAAAGAGAACACGAGGATGGTTGTGGCAGACTCACAATTATGAAAACATCCAATAAGAGTGAGAGGGATGAGTAGAGTGAAGGAGGGGTCATGACTTTATTAGTTGTGTATGAAGCAAAATGGTTGCTCCGAAATTGGGCCGAGTTGAAGAGTGATTTGGAAGTTATTGTCGGACAAATTTCAGACAGCAATAGTGGAACAAAGCCACTAAAAACCCCTAACCAGTGTAACAACAAAATTGAGGCGATGAAGAAGAAAATGTATCAAATGGAATCTGCCGTAAATAACCATTTTGTTCTAGCATCATGGTGTTCCCAAAAACTGTGGGGCTAAGCGTAATTTCTTCATACCTTGGGAGAGTTCAGTGTAATTTACTCTTTAATCAGTTTTGTCTTCTGTTTTGATAACCAAATGACCTCTATTGTTGGGTTGGTCATTTCTATTTCCTTTACACTGCTCCATGTGTGCTGATTTCATTTTTCCAGGGATTTCAAGTTGGGAGCTTTCGATAACAAATTGACAATTAACTTGGAAAAAATGCCACCTCGACTTATTTGAGGAGATCGGTCTTCTCATAATATGTTTGAGCCAAAAACAGGCTGCTTCCCTTAGATCTGTTGCAGATTCTATTATAATATATGTTCAATATGAAATGGTTGGAGATTAACCTCTGATTAAGCATTCTTCACATTCATCCCTCAGCAAGCAAGGAAAATAAGGACTGCAATTTTAGTTTTGAAAGAATGCAAACAACAGTGGTATCAAATCCCTTACCTTTCTCTTGTTTTCTCTCTCGGTTTTTCTTGATTTGCTTCTTGTTATGGAAGATTTGAATGGTTTACTCTTGCAGGGAATACCTGCAACTGCATTTGATGGAAATGATTTTAACAAAGAGCCACTCAGTCAACCCGTGAGTATTGATGTCTCAGACCTTTCTTTCTGATAGTGTCGATTTTTTAGAGCATGGCAAAGGCTTACTTCCGTTCTCATACACAGAGTGAACTAGAACTGTATTTGTTTTGATTGTGATCATTTCATTTAGTGATGATTTAGAATTGTTCCTATATAAAAAAGTGAACAAAAACAAAGCAATTACCACTGAAGCAATAGAGCAAATTTTAGAGAAGAGTCTGTTTGTCAGCCAAATACATGGGTCTTGAGATGAAACTTGTGTTGTGGTAAAGCTAAATTTTACATTTTTGTGATTTTAGGTTTGCAGTATATAGACTGGAAGCTTGGAATTCTGCTGCAATAGGAAATAATGTGGCAATGATGAAATTTTTAAGCGGAATTTGCTTATCAAATGATTTTTTATCACTGCATTGGTGCAACAGTATATATTTATTGTACTGATGAATGGAATACATGTAAAACACGTCAGTATAGATAAATTTGATTATTTTGGGTGTATATGTTTCGGTAAAGTTTAATTTGTTGTATTTTTCTTTCCGATGTAACCCAAAAAAAAAAAAAAAGTTTCCTCCTGTCGTATCTTCTTATTTTTCTTCCTTTTTTTTAATTTCATTTTTTGAATTGAATTTATGCCTGCTTTGAACTTCTATTTACTCATAAATGTCAAAAATTCCTGTTATCTAGGTTTAATTATATAGCAAATCTTGATTATTCTTCTGTTAAAATGTCAGTTTCTCAAATGAATTCTCCTATAATACTTGTAATGTTTCTTTCTTTGGTAGTGCTAGCCTAGGTAATGAATCTAATTTATTTATTTTTTCTTTCTTTCTTTCTTTCTTGTTTTTTGTTTTTTTTTTTTTTTTTTTTTTTTGGGTGGGGGGAATGGGAATTATTAAAAAAAAATGTGCTCTTATTAGTACAACCATCAATTATTTTGAACCCTTTATTTTTTAATTTTTTTATTATAATAATAACTTTAAATGAAATTACTAAAAAAGACATTAATAATTTTAAGACACCTCATCTCACAATTAAGCTCACACTTATTATATCATGAGTTAGGTTTATGAGAGTACTCATCTCCATCATCACCCATCCATCTTTCCAAATCTCACCCTCAAAATATATTTACTTTTAAAACCTTGAAAACTCTTTGACAACAATATTCTGGCGATAACAGTGATAACTATTTGATTACCTATAATTCTTCGGCAATGACAATAAGTAAAAGTTTTTTCGACAATTACAACTCTATAAGACAATAGGAGTACAACAATAAAAACTCAGAGAAGATTCATAACTTTAATGGTGTTCTTAGCTCAGAAGAGATTGAACTTATAAGGAAAAGTTTTTTTTTTAAAAAAAAATGAAAAAAATAATAAAAATTGTTCGTTATTTTTTTAGAACTAAACTCTCGAACATATAACCGAAATTCAAGAACACAGGCCCAAACATTGTTCATTTGTTCAGGAATAGGCAATCGAACATTTCTTATTTGTTCAAGAACAACTAACTGAAACTCGTGGAGATCATAGAACCCACAAAAGGGGAATTTAGAATCACCAACAAAAAAACCTACATTTATTTTCTCAGATCATGAACAAATATGTGGAGATGAAATAGTAATCACTTTCGTGAGTTTTGTTAGGTTTTGGGGAGAGAGGCTTTTTCGGGTGTGAGGGTGTGCATTCTATTAAATAAGTGAAACATTTTCACAATGATAATTTTGATATTATTTTACGGGAGAAAAGAAATTTTAAGGGTTTAGAATTTCTAAGTAGGGGTCCAAAGAAATGAGAGTTCAAAATAATTAATGGAGTGCTAATAATAATACTCTTAAAAAATATACATTTTTTTTATTAGCAGAAAAGTTGATTTTGTTTTCTTCTTAATAAGTTTATACTTTTAGATTTATTTAGGTCTCGTCTGAGGACTCAATATTTTAGTTTAAAAGTTAAAAAATCACTAAAAAAATTTAAAAGCAAAAAATCTATATTAAAAAGTTAAAATTTTATTTTCCTCTTTATTTTTTGTACATCTTTTCATAAAAAATTAAAAAAATTATCTCAAATATATTAATTATTTTTACTTTATATTTTAATTAAAAAATAAAAAATTATTAAAATAACATATTTTGAAAAGGGAGCAAAAAATCTATATTAAAAAGTTAAAAATTTATTTTTCTCTTTATTTTTCGTACATCTTTTCATAAAAAATTAAAAAATTATCTCAAATATATTAATTATTTTTACTTTATATTTTAATTAAAAAATAAAAAATTATTAAAATAACATATTTCCAAACGGGGGAAATGCTTTTACCTGTTCAAACTGGGTATGAATAAACTCTATTAGCCAAATGAAAATCTAACGAAGCTTGAAGATTAACCTTTCATTTGTTGTTTCTAGTAAGTTGTTTTTGTCTTCAGCTTTGCTTCTCTGAAGCAGCCTTAATTAGATTTGTGTTTGGTAGGTTTTCGCTTGGATTGGCCATGTCTTTGTGCATCATTGTCGCTCAAGCTTAGGGGTAGGAATTTGACATGGATCCGTTAACATGATTCGAATTATACACATAATTAGAGGATTAAAATTAATTGTTATTTTTACATGAACACAAATATGACATGACTGGACAATAGAATATTAAATGAGTTGTGTTAATATTGGACACATGTGCACGAATCCACTATTAACCGGTAGGTAATCCAAATACAACATTAAATTGGTAGTCATAAAATTTTAAATGATTTGTTCTTTGACATTGAATTATATTTTGAAATTTATTTTTGAAGTTTTGTTAGATGTTTAGATAGTAATAAGTGACAATAGTAATTGGATGGCGTAGTTAGTTAAATGTTGGATGAACCATATCTAGAGCTTGGTTGTAAGTTCGAATCCTCATGACTGTGCCCGTAACTAACCACTACATAGTCATGAGATTGGCTAGTATTTGTCATGACCCAAACCCACCCCTATGAGTTTAGCACCGTAACCGGCCAGTAATCCGAGATTACCGAAAGCCTGCTTAACAGTAATACAGTAAAACAGAGTACAGGGGCCTGGCGGAAGCCAATACAGTAAAACAACAATGTCTAATGAGCTGTGACAGTCTGTATGCCAAAAAGACTTTTCATATAAATATATATACACAGTGCAGAACAGTATGCACAATATTTACAATCATGCAGAACAGGGACCAAATCCCTATCAAACAGTACAGTACAGTCTATATAGTTATTACAAGACAGAACAGAAGGAGGAAAAACTAAAACAGCCCATAGCCTTGGCTTGACAAGCTCGGAACCTCGCAGTAAGGCACATAGGTTGGCTTGACAAAACTGGAGCTTACCCCGACACTTCTAGCCGCAGTCTGGTGCCTGTACACCTACATATATATATGAGCAGTGAGCTAAAGCCCAGTGAATAACATTGTGCGTAAAGAGGTTTAGAATGAATGTTCTTACAGTAATGAAAGCAGTTCATTAAAACAGTATTTCAGTCATTCAGTCATATGTGGTACATCCATTAGCATAGCAGTATAGTAAGCAGTAGGTCATAAAAGACCGAACAGTTAATAATGGCCATCAATCAGTAAACAGTAGTGGTTCCAACAAGGGAACCGACAAAGATCTCTGTAACAGTAACAGTCAGTAACAGTAATTGCTAAGGATGCCACAATACAATTCAGAATATAGGACATACATTTATTCAGTTAACAGTATCAGTTTAGAAAATAGTTCAGTAAACAGTCAGAAATATTCACAGTTGAACATATCTTTACACAGTTGTTACTCACAGAGTTCTGGGCTACAGTAAGCTAGAGTGCGTCTCCAGTCGCCAACCCTACACAGTTTACAGATTGAACACACACTAAGCTACACAGTTGGGAAAGATAATAATTTAATCCCTATCTTGACTCGGTGTGGTTCTACATCTATATCCTCATTAAGATGCCTTAAACTATGCCTAAGAATGCCTAGGATGAAATGAGGATGCAAAGATGCACTTTAAAAGCATTTCCAGAATTTTCAGAAAACAGGGTTCCAGCTCAAGCGTTGATTACTCCGCTCGAGCGGACATGCAGACAAAGGTTTCCACTCGAACGCAGACTTTCTCGCTTGAGCGTTCTGCAAAACAATCAAAAGTGCTGGATAGGTGAAAATCACGCTCGATTGGGTGCTCGACATCCGCTCGAGCGTAAGACACAAGGTCACACTCGAGCGTCAATTACCCCGCTCGAGCGGACACCAAAGCAGTGCAAAATACTGGGAGCACGAATTTCACGCTCGAGCGCCAGTCACCCCGCTCAAGCGTGAGTTCAAAATCTGGAATTCCCAGATTTGAACCTCAAGCTCAAATTCAACTTTCAAAGCATTAAATTCAATCCTCTTAGGCTCATTTCTTGGAAAACATTTGCAAATACATAGTATAACATGGTTCAAAGCTCAATTTGTAAAATCAAAGCCCAAGGGAAGATCAATTCAACTCAAATTCAAACCAATTTTCATGAACTTAACTTCAATGCAACATGCATGAATTTAAACCACTTTCAAGATTTAAACACTTGCTCTACTGAGCCAATTGTTCCAAAAACAAGATGAAAACATGGTCCATTGTAAATATATGAACATGCATGCAAGATTTCCATGAAATCAAACCTCACAATGCAAGGATAAACACATGCATGCAACAATTGAGCTCTAATTCAACACTATTGAACCAATTCAAGCCTTAGATCACTAAATACCCATTAATCATGCAAGAATCAACTTAAAGACACAATTAAGAGGTTGAATTCATACCTAGGTTCCTTAAATACAAGTCTAGAGGCTCAAGTAGGCAAATCTCCTACAATTTCTTCCAATTTCCAAGCAAATCAACAAGTTGAACTCAATCTCGAGGTGGGGGCTGTTGATTCTGTTGTTGATCTAGTCTTTCAGTTATTAGTTCCATCATTCTTTCTAGTCTTGTCATTCTTGCCTCAGAAGATGAGGATTCAGATTCATTTGCAGTTCTTGCATTATCCATTTCACTATAGGCAGTTATAACAGTTATCAATATAGGCAATCATTTGTTTAAATAAATTAACACATTAGCATATATTCAGTCATGTCATAGCCACACACTCCATTGATTTACTTCAAAAGTATAAAAGAACGATGAATATCATCTTGAGGACTTGCCTACAGACCCTAAGAGAAGAGAAACTTTATGCTAACTGTCTTAAGATGTGAATTTTTCTGCTTTGATCATGGTTATGTTTTTTGGGGCATGTTGATTAGAAAGATAGAATTTTCGTTGACCACAGAAAGTTTGAAGCGGTAAGTAAACTGGCCTAGACCAACAAATGGTGACAGAAGTCCGAACGCTTTTTGGGCTTGGCTGGATATTACAGAAGATTTGTCAAAGATTCTTCTAAGAAATCTTCCTTACCGTTGACTCAAGGTTAAGCTCAGAAGGGTATCATTTGACGTGGATGACCAAAGGGAATCAGCATCCAAGAGTTGAAAACTCGACTTGTAACTGCACCGATTTTCTTACCCTCTTGTCAGGACGGATGGTCTTTAC